CAGCCTCGGAGGCAAGAGCCCCTACCAGGTCAGGCACGGGGGAGCCTCGCTGGACGCCTAGAGCGCCGGCGCAGCCTGAAGGAGTTTCAGGAGCGGCTCCGCCACCTGTGCGAGTCCAGCACCCGTCGGTGCAAGAAGGGGGCCCGGTACCTGGCCGAGGTCAACAGCCTCGACAGCCGGGCCCGGTCCTACGGCGAGCAGGTCCTCAGGCAGCTCGACGGGGTGCTCAGCGGGCGGGTCCGCCTCCCGCCGCCGCCGGCCCTCGCCGGCGCCGCGGGCTGCGGGCGGGCGCCGTGATGCGCCAAGGCGACGCCCTAGAGGCGGTGCAGCGGGCCGCGGACACCAAAGTGATCCGCCGCCTCCGTCAGGGGCTCGCTCGGGCCAGCAGGCGAGGCCGGCGCCGTGGGCAGGCGTTCCTTGACTTGTTCAGCGGCGCCGGCGGCGTCGCCAAGGCCCTCGAGCGCCACGGCGACAACGGATGCCTCCAGATCGACATGGAGGCCGACGCAGCTTTCGATCTCACCCGCCGCTCGGCCCAGCAGCTCATCCTGGGCTGGATGGCCAGCAGGCGCGTGCGAGGGCCCTGGATCGCTTTTCCATGCACGACTTGGTCTGCAGCCTCACGGCACACATACCGTCGCCCCGGAGAGCTCCGTGGCCGAGCGAATTTGACAGTAGAGCAAGAGCACAAAGTGAGCCTGGGTAATAAGACCCTTGCCGCCATTGTCCGTTTCATCAGAGCTGCAATCATGAGACAGATCCCAGTTGTGATCGAGAATCCTCTCACAAGTATGGCCTGGCAAGTCCCCGAAATGAAGAGGCTAATGGCACACCGCAGTTGTAAGATAGCAGTCGTAGATCAGTGCATGTTTAACACCCCCTGGAAGAAGCCCACAAAGATTGTAGGCTGGAATGTTTCTGAACCGCCCGCCCCTCTCGTCCAAAGGCGTCGTGGGAAGTCTCTGTGCTGCAAGACCCTCCGGCCTCACCTCGCCCTCGAAGTAACCGGCGGACCGCCTTGGCTCAGGCCCATCCGCGGGGGCTGGCGGAAGCAGGGGCTCGAGCGCGCACACATAGGGAGGTTGTTGATTTAATTATCTCGTGCTCTGAGCTGCAGTTGCTAATTTAACCCTTGCTCTATAAGAATGTGAGTGATTGCGGCATGGCCAGTAACATGAATGGGCTGTGGGGGGCTTTCCCCGAATAATCCTGCTGCCGACTCGGGCCCCAGAGACGGCTCGGTCGCAAGTCTCGTGACAGCATAGGTTCTCCTGGTTGCAAAAACAGTGCACATTGGCGGTTTGTAATTAAACACGTTGTGCAGAAGTCAGCAAGCCGACAGGGGACGGACGTGGGTCCGTCACCGTTTTTGCTCAAGCTTTTACCACCTCCTCCTCTCCTCCTCCGCTTTCTTGCATTCTCACGGTGGGGGGCTTTCCCCGAATAATCCTGCTGCCGACTCGGGCCCCAGAGACGGCTCGGTCGCAAGTCTCGTGACAGCATAGGTTCTCCTGGTTGCAAAAACAGTGCACATATATATACACACACACACACACACACCTATACGACCACCCTTCGGGTGATAAGGAGGTGAGGAGGAAGGAGGAACCAACGCGTCACTCAATACATCTCGCGATCGATCCCACTATCGATCTCACTATCGATATCACTCGATCGATCTCACTATCGATCTCACTATCGATGTCACAATCGGTCTCACAACCGATCTCATTATCGATCTGATTCAGTCGATCTCACTATCGATATCACTATCGATCTCACATTCCGTTCCACTATCGATCTCACAATCGATCGCACATTCGGTCTCACATTCGGTCCCACTATCGATCTCACCATCGATCCCACATGTGGTTTCATAATCGATCTCATTATCGACCGCACTATCGATCTCACTATCGATCTCACAATCGATCTTACCACCGACCCCACAATCGATCTCACTATCGATCTCACATTCGATCTCACATTCGGTCTCACTATGGAACTGACGATCGATATCACACTCAATCTCACAATCGATCTCACAATCGGTCTCACTATCGATCTTCCAATCGATCGCATAATCGGTCTCACTATCGATCTCACAATCGATCTAACTATCGATCTCACAATCGATGTCACTATCGATCCCACTATCGATCTCACTTTCGATCTCACAATCGATCTCAATCTATCTCACAATCGATCTCACAATCGCTCTCACATTCGGTCTCACTATCGATCTCACCATCGATCTCACTATCGATCCCACGATCGGTCTCGCAGTCGAACTCACTATCGATCTCACGACAGGACACCGACGGGACACCGACGGGACAACGGCGGGCCACCGACGGGACAATGTGGGCCACCGCTTGACAAGACCGGGGGGGGAAACACTTGTGTTGGCGGACCCCTAGCGACAGCAGGGTGAATTCCTCTCGCCCGCCCACGCAGCTTCGCCTCGCACGCACGACACGAACACGAAACCGAAACCGATTTCCTGGTGGGGGGTTCTCCGTTCCACTTCGATCTCACTCCCTCACCTCCGATATCTATATATATATGTGTGTGTGTATGTATGTATGTATGTATGTATACATATATATATATATCAACATACATATATGTATATATGCGTATATAAATAAATGTGTATATGTATGCATGCATGCATGTGTGTATGTGTGTGGGCATGCATGGATGTACGGATGTGTGTAGTGGGTGCGTATGTATGGAAGTAGTTGTTTGTACTCATGTGTATGTGTATGCATGCTTGTTTTGTGCGTGCATGTATGTATATACATATATGGAATTCTATATGTACCTATAATATATATATATATATATATATATATATATGTAGGTTGATGTGTGTTTTGCTGCTTGTTCATGTATGTATA